TACTTAAGGAAGGAGTATAATCAGGTTTTAAAAAAGTTTTCTAATTGCCGAAAAATTTGGAACCTGATCATTCGTTGCATTAGCGCTTAGTGATTTCACTCTACAAGGTGCATGCGTTCCGCGTAGAGAAAATCACATATTTTATGTCATTAAAGAGATAGCATACAGGGTCCATTAAATTTTGCAATGGATGCGGACCATGTTGTACATTTCATGAGGAGCAGTGGTAAACGGCCTGGTGCCATGCTATGTGAATGGACATATTGCGGTCTTAAAAAGTCTCATAATTAGAAACTTTTTAAAAACCTAATTATACTCCTTTCTTAAGTATAAAATATAAATAAGACGTGATTCTCTATTGATTGACTAAAAGAATGCATATTTTGTTTGTGGCTTCTATAAAATATATTTGAATTTGTAAGACCATCGAAAATCAATGAGAAAATGCATGCTACATAAGTAGTCATTTTTTACCGAGTACGCTTTCTACAGAAGATTAAACAGAAATGCATTTAAAAGCCGACATCCTGCCGAGTCCAAAATGTTATAAGATTATGTCTTAAGATAATCAGTATCACAACCGCGACCAAGTAATCCTTCCTAATCGAAAACGCATTTCAGAATTTCAGCCAACATTTCATGAGATAGGTCACGCACTGTAGACTCTGGTCCATATGCTTGCCTAAACCCTCAAAACAACATATTTCTGAAAAGCATTAACCGCAGTAGTGAATTATTTGACATTTTTCTTAATGCTATTTAGGTCATATTTGTAATCTAACAACACAAGAAACCTCGCCGCCAAGGAAGGTGAACGTCCACAACAAAAACGAACAATGATTATGCCCGAGATCAATTAGAAAAACTTTCCATAATAAGCTACTGCTTTTAAATCGGAATAAAAATTGGGCCATTTGTCTGGCTTTTTCAATTACGTGAAAATTTGCCATCATCTTTTTCTGAAAATAAAAGAACTCCTTTTTTGGTTATATTGCAGCATTCTTCATAAGATTTGTTCGCATTTGCTCTCCGTTTTAAGATTGTCAATGCATAACAGAGTAGCCTTTACATTAGCAAGGCCTTGCAAAAACTGCTAATATTCCATGGTAAGGGACGCTCACCGATCGTTCTTACAGAACTCCCTCGTTCCGTAGTGCCTTACGGGCTCTCTCTCGAGCCCAACCAACAGCTTCACAGCGACGCACGATATATGCAGTATGTTATTACCGACAAAGACAAGGGAGACTGGAATGGCCACTTCTGGCCTATTAGCCCTCATCAGTCAGTCATACCCAACCCCGAAGTGTGGAGCACCCGAGGCGTTCCGTGAGAACGCCGTTAAAGACGATCGGTGAGCAATCCTACCATGTTATATTCCCGATCGAAACCGACACGGTAACGAGGTCGTGGCCCAGTGGTTAGAGGCGTGGACGTCTAACTAACAGGTTGCGAGTTCGAGCCTCGGGTGTTCCACACTTCGGGGTTGGGTATGACTGGCTGCCGATGGCTAATAATCCAGAAATGGCCATTCCAATCTCCCTTGTCTTTGTCGGTAATATCATCCTGCCTATATATCATGCGCCGCTGTGCGGCGGCTAGTTGGGCTCGAGAGAGAGCCCGTAAGGCACAGCGGAACGAGGGAGTTCCGTAAGAACGATCGGTGAGCGTCCCCTACCATTGTATCTCCCCGATCGAAACAAACAGTGCAACTGGCTCGTGGCTCGATTAAAGTTCTGAAAGTCAAAAACACCGACTGACTTGTCAAATGTTTGTCATAGAATCACATGGTATACGCCGCCTTGCTGTAAGTAAGTGACAATGACGCCTCTTACAAATCAGTAATAAAAATCCACTTATTATAGTTTATTCAAAG